TTATTTTATATTCTTTATATTTTAGCTACCCATTATACTAAACTCTTTTTGTTTTGCCTTTTTTTCTTTATCCTTAGTTCTTTGGCATTTATTGTGCACAATTAATCTTTTTTCTGTGTACCCCATCTAGCGCTATAGATCCCCTAGATGTTTAAAATTGTTTTGTGTGGATATCTCGCCAACAAAAGATGATTAGTGGGTGGTGCCAAATATCAAGAAATGTTTTTTTTTAATCATCAGTGAATAATAATTATATACCAACCCATAAAATTCTGCGGTATCTATTAGTTGATATCCTTTCGATAGGGCATACTGGACTGCTTTTTCTGCCACTCCTCCGCTCCCAGAAGATGCTTCATACATACCAAGACCAAACATCGGCATACAAACTCCATCGTTTAAAGTCAATCTAGAGGTGATGTCTGTTGCTATAGATACCATTCTTTTCGTCATAATATACTATCCTAAAATTCAACATAAAAAACAACTATTGAAAAAAAGGATATCAGTAACTTAAGTTAGCGTGATATTTCGACAGAACGTACCGCAAAATTTACCGTGTAGATTATTAAAGTAAATATAATATTTCCAACAGTCGTTGAATGTACCGAAAAGTTAGTGAGCAATGTTTATAGATGATCGGTGTTTTTTCTGCACATTGATATTTTACGATATCTATACATATTGCCCCGATAATCGGTTTATCGTGATATTTCTTGTTTCTTAATTCCTTCCTTATATATAAAAAAGAAGATGTGGTATGATAGTTCGACGCTTGACAAAAGTTTTTCTTTACAACTACAAAGTTCACATTTCGCCTTGTTGACTATTAATATTTATCCTAATAATCAGAGAATCTTAAAATCATCTCAACTTGTAATGATTAAGAAACACTTTATACCAAGGCCACACTTAAACATATTTTGGTTTGCCCAACTCTAACCAAAGGAAGAGACAGTTGGTATTATAGGTAGGTAGGCATTATGTTTTTTTAGTCTTCGTGCCTATCAGGACAATAACAGATTGTGATTTTTCTCGGTAGGTAGCCTAAGGGTTAGTGCAATAAAGGTATTCTTTTTTTATGACCAAGTGGTTTAAAATTGCAAACAAAAATGACTGCAACATTATCTCAGATCTTCAAAAGCAAACTTACAATCAAGGCGACACAAACACAAAGAAATAAACTTAACTTGTTAAAGGCCGTACGGTGACCTATAGTTGTTAATTTATTTGACATTTTGGTCTCTTGTAGAGAGTTGTCTCATAGGCAATCATACCACATCTTCTTTTTTATATTAAAGTATGTTCACTTCAATCGGCAAAACACGGCTAATTCCACTACTTTAAATTGATTGTTCTGTCGAGGTGTGCCGGATGACTTTAAACTTACATTGTAACTAGCAAATGACACAAAACAAATTAAGCCACACACAACTTACTTTCGTCTCAATCGGCAAACCTCGTCGCATTCTGGCTAGATTGATAGATCTTCCAAAGTGTTTGCTTGGGTTTCAATCAGTTATATATAATAAAATACGATATATATACTTCAATGATGTGCGAACCTGCCCTGCAGTGATGTTTTTGTTGCAGGTACATTAACTGGTGGATACAATTATATTTTTATTTTGGAATAAAACATCATTTGCATCTTTGTCCACGACATGCACCAATTCCAAGGATATATATATGAGATACATGTGTACATTGAATTACAGGTACATGTTCTTTTAACAAACAATTGATCAATATTTCTAGCTGTTATACATACATAAATGCCTTTTCAAACGACCATTCATTAAATGTAATTGGTTATCCTGTATTTAAATAGCTTTTCAGTAACATAAAGTCAAGATACTGGATGTCCCCTCCTACATACCCTAATTATTGCAATCTATACATGTATCTTTGCATTAACCCAGGGACTTTCTATACTAGTAAAGAAAGTCCCTGATTAACCATAATCTCTTGATCATGTTGATACAAGTAAGATAGATGATCATAGATCATACATATAATTGTGCTAACGCCCTCGTGACGTCGGTGTTTCCAATACCTCTGTACAATATAAAGTATATCGTTTTGAAAAAAAATAATTGCCGAATTGCAGCATGGGGGCTAATTAAGTGGATCAGACATTTTTGTCAGACGAGGGTTTACTGCCAATTGAATTGGGAATGGCAATCGCTATCCTACATTGGCATTTTATATAAGATAGCGACTGTCATTGACAGTAAAACCTCATCTGACCCACTAAACAAGCCCCTGTGGTTGCACGACCAAAAACGTGTCAAATTTTGGTGTGTAATTCCTTTGTTCTAATGTGGTGTTCGTCTCGGGAAAGACTATTTCCCCTGAAAGGACCCGACCTGGACTTATGATATATGACAAGAGAAGGCTCTATTACTGTAATTACCTCTATTATCGGGCGTTGATGCTGTCTCTTCGTAAGTAACGCTCTTCACTTCGAAGGTCAGTCGCAAGAGGGCGCTGCAGGCGTGCGCAGACTCCGTCCTCAGCTGCATCCATCAAGAGGCCCACTGGTGTCAGTTATCTGCTCCTAGCTTGGAGAACCCAGGGCTTAGGGTAAAGATACAACACCCCCCTCCTTCCTAAAAAGGAGGAACTGTAAGTTCCGACAAAGGCCTGACAACTGAAGACGCCCCTATTTCATAAAAAGTCAAAATCCTTAATTATTAACATAACCTACGAATGGGTTATCTAACCCAGCAAATATCATAAAACTTGCTGTTTAAAATCCACCCCCCTTTTCCCTGGGTATGGGGTTTCTAATTAACTTTAACCTTTCCCTAAAAACATGGCATATAAAAATCACTATAGACAACTCGGCATTGGACAACTAAAAAAAATTAATTAAAAAAAAAAAAAAATTTTCACTCATCTTTCCTTTCCCTTAACCACTATAACTCTGAGCTACAACTCCGCACCGGCCATAGGTGCAAGCAACCCCTCAAGACCTAGTCCTGGAAACATCTCACCATGAGACGATAGCTCACTGTTCTTGCTAAGAACTGAGTCCAATACATAATGGATATAAATGGTGTTGTCCAACCCAGAATCGTCCTAATTATTGATTGCATATACAATATTTCAAAAACGCATAAAACAAAAGATATTTCCAATAATCAAAATATACATAGATATCTGTAATCGCCAGTTCATTAATCTCCCCTCGAATTTCCAATTAATCTAAGCTACGTACTACTATTCTACTAAATCCCCATAATTATATCAAAGCACCTGTTCCAGCATGGAACAAAAAAGGAAAACCATGACCACAAAAAACGAAGTATACACCAATACCGTTCTTCAATATGGCGATAATATAAAAAAATGTCCAACACTATTCTACTATACTACAATTTGTACACTGGCCTGGCTTTCAAATCCTGTGGAGTACAGCTTCCAGACAGGAAGCGGAGGCTAAAGCCAACAAAAAAAACAAGATCCTTTCATGGAGTTCTGAATACACCGATGCTGTACATTCACTCCTTCACAACGACCTCGAGTTCTAACATGGCAGGCAGCAACTCCATCTTCACCGATCGTGTCAGTTCCGCTCCTAGGTAGGTAAGCACGACCTCCTGCTCCTCCAGGTCAAAGAGATCCCTTGCCTGTGCCACTGCGTTTTCCATCGTGGTCACTGTGACCATCTTCTTGGTGTTCTGGTAAACCAGAACCACCAAGGATTCCCGGAAGGCAGGTGCCGCCACTGTCACTGGCTCCTCCACTGTTGGGGTTATCATTCCAGCCGACTTCCTCTCATCCTCTTTGGGGGCAAGTTGTACCTCTGGCACAGTAAGTGGTACCACTGGAGTGCTGGGTGGAACTGTGGACTGGACCACTGGAACATTGGCCTGAACAGTTGGCTGGACCACTGGAACACTAGGTATGGACTGAGCCACGACGGGCTCTGCCACACTAGGTGAACTGCGGAACCTCCAGTTCATCTGGCATATCACATCATAAGAAGGGCCGTTGTTCCCTCTGTACTCCTCCACTGCCACGCAAGCTCTACGGGCAGGGCTCAGGTGACGCAGCACCGACAGGATAACTCTCCAATACAAGATAACGACAGGGCTATTCACTGGATGTAATGAATAGATGCTAATCTGTGGCCATTTCATAGCGGAACACACTGCTCGTAGTGGTGGCATGTCTGGTCCCTGGATTCTGCATCCCCTGGGAATGCCTGCTCGCTGCTGGAGCCACAGCACAAACTCCCCTGAGGTAATGTCCTCCTGCCCAGTGAGCCACCTGGCCAGCAAGTTAACCATGTGGCCTCTAAATCTCTGGAACCGCTGGTCCTGCATAACTTCTCGAGAGAATCTCGTCTCGAACATGGGAGACAAGTGGTCAGCCAGGGCATGTTCTCTGAGGTGCCTGGTGATGACAGGGCACTCTGGTACTGGACAGGCCACATCCCGGTCACTCACCCGCCAGGTCCTTTCTTTATACCCGCTGTAGGGGCCAGTCCACACTTGGTCCTCTTTCCCTTTCCAGGCCGCTGGTATTTCTTTCTTGAAAGCCATGGGTTTAGTGCTGGCGGGCACTGGAGCTGACTGCTCCCCCTTCTTATCTACAGGTGCCTCCTCCTGTGCTGCTGGTATCTCTCCTCGAGCCTCCAGTGTCTCTTCTGGATTACCTTGTACCAGAACAGGTGCCTCCGGCTCTCTAGAGACACTTACCTCTGGTATCACTGGTACCTCCAGCGATACTGTGGTGGCCACAGGTCCTTCCTGGACAGGTTCTTCCCTCCTGACCCTTCTCCTGTGGGTGGCTGGATCCAACACCAAAGTGTCAAATGGCTGAATGCCCACTCCCGGCTGGGAGTTACAACTGCTTGGCCTCCAAGACCTTGTTTCATTCTCACTGCCCTCGTCGGAGCACGATCTGAAGGATTCAGAGTCTGACATTCTGAAAAATATTAAAAAAAAAACAAACATTAGAAAACCTGACAATTTAGTGAGTTTGTTAAACTACTTGATTTCTCCCCCTCCTTTGTCTTTTGAGGGTGGAGTAGTACGAACAAGTTGACAGTTGGGACAGATGTAGGGATCTATCTCATTGGCCTCCTGTATTGACATACCTATACAGGTCAGGTGGAACCATTCCCTACAGTTATCACATTGAACCATTGTCTCACCAGTGTCTGGGCCCCGACACACACAGTACTGGGGAGTAGTAGGCTTGGTCTTATTGCCTGCCAAGACATCCTCACCCCTTTTAAATTGGTCCCTACATGTCTCTAACCAAGCAGGAATTTTTCTATCCCCACATGGCTTAAACCTGTCATGGTTAGTATTAAAAACCACCCGTTGGAGTTTCACCTTGTACACATACCCAGTAACCTTACTAATAATGATACCTGGCCCCTTCCATGGTGACCCCAATTTCTTACATTTTCCCTTTATCTGGGCAGTATCGAGGACATATACAAGATCCCCCGGCTGGTATGATTTTTCCAATACTCTCAGATCAAAGTCCCTTTTCATTTTTTCTTGGGAGGTCTTAAGCTTATCGCGTGCAATGGTATGTGCACTTTTGATAGCTTTTTCTAGATCTACAATATAGCTGTCAGCACCCTCATATTTCTTTTCACTCTGACTACCGAACATAAGGTCTGCTGGCTGATTGGTCTCTCTGCCTAGCATGAGCTTGTTCGGTGTGTACCCTGTACTCCTGTTGACACTAGATCTCATGGCTCCCCCTAGTTGAGCAAGGTGTTGATCCCAATTATCTTGTTGTGAGTCAACAAAGCATCTCACTGCATCCATGAGACTGCGGTTTTGTCTCTCTACTTGTCCATTTGACTGAGGACGATATGGAGTTGTTCTAGCCTTATGAATTTGCAGCAATTCACATACTGCTTTAAAGAGTGCACTCTCAAAGTTACGTCCCTGATCTGAGAACAACTGGAATGGGTAACCAAATCTTGTGAAAAACTCATTAATGGCAGCTTGAGCGGTCACTTCAGCTGTTTGTGACGGTAGTGGTATGCATTCTGTCCACTTAGTGAATTGATCTGTCTTCATCAAGATATGTTCGTTGTTCTGTTTTGTCTTTGGTAAAGGGCCCATAAAGTCTATGTGAACTCTCTCCATAGGGTACCCAGCATGGTACTTGGTGAGAGGACACTTACCATGTCTGCTTGCTTTCTTGTTCTTGTTGCAGGTATCACAACTAAGTACAAACACGTTAATGTCTTTGGTCATGTTATACCAGTGATATTTATCCTTGATCTTGGACATTGTCCTTGACACACCTTGGTGTCCTGCGCTTGGCAGTTCATGACTGAGCTCCATTACTGTCTGTCTTAAAGAAGCAGGTACAACCAGCCTTGTATTGGCTCCCTCCGTCTTGGGTTGACTCTTTAAAACACCATTGTCGTCCATAAAAAATCTTTGCTTATTAATCCAGTGACTCTTGGCTGCTGGTGATGCCAAGAACAAATCATTGGACAGAGGTTCACTGCCATCTTTTAAATAAGGTAGGATGAACATCAGGTCTGGATCACTCTCCTGTCCCGTTTTGATTTCCTCCTCACTGAAACCTGAGATGGTTATGCCCTCTTCTGGTGCGGTTGCTGCCACGACGCAATCAGAATGACTGTCCATTACAATTCTTGCTGTCGAAGGAGTAAAAATCAATTCCATTCCTGTACTGAACGGGAGTAAATCACATTCCGGAGTCGGCTGGCTGGCTACTGGCTCCATTGAGTCCAAGCTACTGGTGTGGCAGCAATCTTCAATAACTGCAAGTTCAACTGGTACTGCAGGTTGTTCCAAGGTTGAAACTTTTTCCGGTGTTTCAAATAACAGCATCATTGCTGTTGCTACCCTTTTAAGTAATCTTGGCTTCTGCTTTCTTTTTCTAGCCAGTGGGGCTGTTTCATCTACATCACACAAAAACTGTGCCCAACTTTGATGTGCTCGCTGGCAGTAATTACAGCCCTTGCAAGGTAAACTTGCTAGTATGGTGTCTGCAGTATAATGTGGACATTCTTTCAACCTATCCGGGAGACGGGACAAGACATCAGCATCAATGTGTTGTTTACCTGGCCTATGCTTTATAACAAGGTCATATTGGCTGAGCTCTTCCAACCATCTAGCCAGCTGTCCCTGGGGCTCCTTGAAATTGACAAGCCATGTCAAACTACTGTGGTCTGTCCTCGCCGTGAATTGTCTTCCCAGAAGGTAGTGTCTAAACTGTCTAGTAAATCTAATTACTGCCAACAACTCCTTTCTAGTTGTACAATAACGTTTTTGTTCTGCTGTAAGTACAAAACTACCATATGCTATGGTGCGTTCTTCTCCATTTTGCACCTGAATCAGCTCAGCGCCTATTGCATTTTGGGAGGCATCTGTATCTAGGATGAAATAATCTTTGTTGTTTGGTAATGTCAATACCGGTGCAGTTAACAAGCTGTCTTTTAACGTCTGGAATGCAAGTTGACGTTCATGGTTCCATGAAAACAATTTTTTTCCTGTTATTTCATATAGTGGAGCAGAGATCCTGGCATAGTCCTTGATAAATGAACGGTGGTAGTTCACAAATCCCAGAAATTGTTCAATTTCCTTTGTGCATGTAGGCACCACCCAACCATTAACTGGTTGCAAATGTTGCTGACCTATTTTGATGCCCTGGTTACTCACACTCCTCCCCTAAAATTCTACAGTCGTTCTAAACAAAGCACACTTTTAAGGCTTTAATCTAAGTCCGTACTCTCTAAATCTTGTAAATACCTTCTCTAAGTTTGTGAGGTGTTCATCGAAAGATGGTCCTAAAACCAATATGTCGTCTAGGAAAGCCAAGACAGTTTTCCACGTTAATCCCCTGAGGACAAGGTTCATCACTCTGGCATAAGTCCCTGGTGCGTTGCACAGTCCAAAAGCCATCTTGACACACTCAAACAACCCATACTTGGTAACAAATGCCGTCTTCTTACGGTCCTCTGGCTTGATCTTGATTTGCCAGTACGCACTATTAGCGTCCAGTTTGGAGTACCATATGTTGCCAGCCAAGGTATCCAGACATTCATCTATTAGTGGCAAAGGAAAGAGATCACGTGATGTCACTGAATTAAGCCTTCTAAAATATATGCACCAGCGCACTCCCCCATCCTTCTTCCTGATAAGGACTGGTGCTGAAGCCCATTCTGATGTTGAGGGTTGTATAACTCCAGCATCTAACATTTTCTTGAGGTGCGCCTCCTCCTCCTGAACAAAACAAGCTGGGGTCCTCCGCATACGCAGCTGAATAGGTCGGGCATCGCCAGTGTCAATCTCATGTTCTACATGGCTGAAATTACCAAGGTCAAACTCTGTCTTTGCAAAGACATCACTGTAGGTGTAAAGCAAGGTTCTCAGTTTTGATTGCTGGTCTACTGTCAAATCCTGACTGGATGTAGTAAAGAGTTCTTGGAGGTGGTGTGGTAGGTCCTCTTGTTGGGGTGGTGACCCATTTGAACTGGTACCCTGCTGACTGGTTGAACAAGTACCAACACTTGGCTCTTGAGGATCCTCCATAGATTCAATTACTGCCACAGCATGTGCCTCAGCTATTTCTAGTCCACTCTGGAGTCGGACAGGGTTGTCCGTCACATTCATAAAACAAACCACTGGACTTTGTCCTTTAGCACAAACTGATCTGGGAATCAAAAGTGTAGTCTTTGAGTTTGGTTCTATCACAAAATCATTATCTTGTACTGGTACTGTGCAATTCATTCGCATAACTGAATTCGGTGGGACTACTACCGAGGTTGGTATCGTAATTCTGTTTACTGAGGGTTGAGCAGATGGTGTCTCTCCTCCTAAGACTAGCTTAACCGTCTTGTCGTTGATGGACATGTATCCTTGACCAATGTTGAGTATGACATTATTACTAGCTAGGAAGTCATGGCCAAGAAGCATCTCACAGTCAATTGGAGCAATATATAGCTGATGGCTGAAAAGTAAGTCATCTATCCTGAAAAGAGTAGGGTTAGTAATCCGGCAGGTCATCTGCATGTCTCGTCCTGCACCATGCATAAGTGTCTCTTTAATAACATACGGTTGTTCTTGTAAGGAATCAAAAACCTTGTCTTGCATAATAGTAACTTCCGAGCCTGTATCAATCAAGGCAGTCACTAGCTTGTCCTGGACTTGTACCTTCACTCTCAAGAGTCGAGCAGTCCCAATAGTTCCTACAACTGTAAACCCATTAGATGGCCCCTCAGTAACTGAGTCCTCTGGCACATTAATTGTAACTGATTTGCGTGCTGTTTGATTGTTCTGTTTGGGAGGCTGCCTGCCAGGTGAATTATTTAACTCTGGGCAATCTCTTTTGTAATGTCCCTGCTTGTGACAATAAAAACACGCCCCATCTGGAATCTGTGTCCTGCGGTTACCGGAACGATTATTATAACCACCTCTCCTGCCTTGTCCACGTCCACGAGAGGTATCTACTCTATAGTCACGACTGGGCGAAGTACCATTAGATCTGTTTGATTGTCGCATCTCCTCAGTTAGTGTAGCCATTGAGGATAGTAGGCTTTGCATCTGTTGCATGCTCTGTTGTTGCTCTTCTCGTTGTTGTTAAAGCTGCTGCTCCATCTGCGACACTCGGGTGTCTATGGCTGATTTGGAAGAGCCTACCCCATGCACTGAGGGTGTATCACTTACTTGTGCTACTGGTGTTGGAGCTGCTGCTTGTTTCACCTCTGGTGTTTTTCCTTGAGCAATGTGGGCTTGTACAGCTTTTCTTGAATGTTGGAACCACTTAATTATATCAATTGCATTTTCAACCGATACTGGTTTAAATCCACATGCATGTTGGCCAGCCTCTAGATCATTGCAACCTTGACAAAATTTCATTACTGCTTGTTTTGTCATGTACTCTTCAGAGATCTCTCTGAAGGATTGTGTTGCCAAAGATAACACACGATCTGCCCAGTCCTCCAGGGATTCCTCTTTCTTTTGGGTTATCGTCTGAAACTGTATCTGTGAAGTTTCTTGTGGTTCCTGAAATCCAAAGCGTTTCACCATTTTAGGCACTACTGCACTAAAAGCAATGTCTTTGTTAGAGTCCAGCAGCACTGTATAAAAATCACTAGCCTTGTCCTCCAAGCACCAGCAAAGCTGGTCTCGTTTTTGTTTGTCTGTCCAACCTGCAGCCTCAGCGTACCCGGTGAACTTTGTGTAAAACGCCTTCCAGTTGCCTTTTCCTGTATACTTTAGGTTTTTGGGCATAGAAAAGAAAAATTTATTATCTTGTTTCATCTGAGCTGGCTTAGCTTTATGACGGTTGCTCGATGAATGGTGACCATCTGTGTCTGACTGACTATGTCTGTCTGACTTCCTTTTAGCGTGCTTTTTGCCTGAGCTCTTGTGGTGTGGAGATGAGTGATCCTCCTCAACGGGAGAATCATGTCTACTTGACACACTTTGTCTAGAATGTGTTCTGTGGTTTCTACTTTTGTGACGACTCCGACGGTACACTACCCCTGATGTAGTACTAGATGAATCTGAATCACTATTTGAGCAGCTTGTAACCCTAGATATACTTCTTCGGTCCTGAAACTGAGCCTCTGGTCGGTTGTTGTACATCTGTTGTTGTTGTTGTTGAGGGTACACTGGCAAGTGTGGAGCTGCACCATAATAACATGATTGAGCTGTTCCCTGAGCAAGATTTTGTGTTGTTGAAGGCTGATCAGGCCTCCCTTGTTGATACGGTATATTTCCAAATGGCTGTTGAGGCTGATGTAGAGGTGCAGTAACACTGTGGAGATGTCGCACCGGCTGTTGTCTGTAAAATTCTTGTTGGTGCAGGATGGTCTGAGGCGGCTGCCCCTGTTGACCAATTGTGTTGATGAGGGGTTGTTGAAACCCTGACTGGTTGGTGTTAGGTTGGTGTTGACCTGGTCTGTTAAAAAATTGTTGTGTCGATAGAACATGGCTGCTGATAGGTGGTATAGGTACAGGTTGGCTGATCGGTGGTTGATGTTGTGGATTATCAATCACCCTGATGAAGTTTTGTCGTTCGGCTGTATTACTTGGAATGGTATAGTTCTGTTGACTAGTTGATTGTCTTGTTGACCTGGGACAGGGTGGTTGATGGGCACTGTTGACGGTGGGTTGAGGTTGTTGACAAGGTTTCCTTTCCCTGACTGGTGGAGTAGACCTATGTGCAGTTATAGGGTTTGACCTGTTGATGGTGGGTTGAGGTGGTTGTTGACCTGTAGCCCTATGGTTGACTGGTTGATTGACAGTTGTCAGAATTGACCTGTTGAAAGTTGGTTGAGTAGGCATTTGTCTGCTCGACATGGATGTGACCTGTGGTTGATGTTGTATGTTGCTTAAAGTATGCCGGGTAGATTGTTGAATTGTATGTTGAGTTGGGTGTGTGTTGGTGACAGTGTGATCACCAGGTAGTTGAATGGCTCGAGTATGTGATCGAGAGTAGTTGACGTTATGCTCAACAGGGAGTTGAACAGCTTGTTGACGTTGTTGGTTGAAGTTGACGGTATGTTCAACAGGCAGTTGGACAGTTTGTTGACGTTGTTGGTTGAAGTTGACGGTATGTTCAACAGGCAGTTGGACAGTTTGTTGACGTTGTTGGTTGAAGTTGATGGTATGTTCAACAGGCTGTTGAACAGTTTGTTGACGATGGTTGAAGTTGATGGTATGTTCAACAGGGAGTTGGACAGTTTGTTGACGTTGCTGGTTGAAGTTGATGGTATGTTCAACAGGGAGTTGAACAGTTTGTTGAGGCGGTTGAATATAGTTGACTGAATTATCTAACGACCGACTGTGTTGGTTGCTTGTTTGCCTATTCTGGCTGTAGAAGTCCTGCTCAGTAGGCGGTTGACTTTGTTGAAACCTATCATTGAGATTAGGGTTCTCTAAATCTCGCTCTATCATAACAGTTGATAGCTCGTATGATTTACAGTTTCCACCCACAAACCTGGGTTGCTGGTTCAGCTGAACTTCTATCATACTTTCACTATTGTCATGTTGAATACCTACAGACTGGTTGTTTTCTTGACACCTAAAGGCCTGATCTTGACTTGGCGGATCTGGCTTATCTGATGGTTCATATTCGACATTTTCCTGTTTATCATATTGTGATCCACGTCCAGAGCCAATTACTTCTGGTTGTAATGTTTGACTGTGAAGTAGTGATTCCTCACAACAGGACAGAATATCATCTGATATTCTACAACGGTCCATCTCCTGGGTAGGATATTCATTTTCGTCGATGCATGATGGCATGGATCTTGTCGACTTGTGATCAACCTGTGAGTTCCACACTGTACGTTGCACTGCAAGTGTCGAATCCATGACAATCTCAGAGTCAGAAAAAACCGGTTGATGTAATTTAGGTTTTGTAAAGATTTCACCCCCCTGGACAGGTGCGTACGTAGAACCGTGTTGGTCTATCCACCTCTGTGTGTCCGTCTTAAATTGTTGGAAATGAGCAATCTCCTGCCTAATAGTACGCGGAGTACAGGGTGTTGACTCAAAATTGGCTCCCCCTCCCTCATGTGATTTTACCTGGGTATCTGTCTCATAGTCTTGTGACACATGTGGCTGACCTTGATACCTTGCATCAACATTGTCCATGTCATTCAATTCACATGGGGAAAAATCAATCATCTCTGACACCTGGGACATTTTATTTCTCATATATGGTATTTGGGCCAATATTTCAGGTGTAATTGTTATGCCATTATTTTTCATAACCATGATTCTATGAGCGGTAGCCGTACCAATGCCAGGTACATGTAGGAGAACAGACTCCGGACTGGAGTTGATTTTAATTTTATACCCACTCATTGTTTTTAATAATGACCTATATGCAATGATACTCTCAATATAAATAAATGACAAGACAATAACCAAAGAAAAAACAAGTCTTTATTGATTCTAAATCCCGTTAACAAATATCAAAGATGTGTATTGCATATGTAAACAAATCACGGAAATCACTTCCGGTATTGATCTCAAGTGTCGTCGTTACCTGGTAACACGAAATCACGCGAGACTCAATCTGAAAAAATCAATACTTTGAACAAAGTTTGAAAACTTTCACAGACAGTGAAAAACCTATCCCAAAACGTTTTTTTCAATGAGGTACTGCTTCTAAAGCTTTTATTTGAGCCTAAACCGACTTCCGAAGTCACATAATAGCCAAATAAATTCTGCAAGTCACGCTTGATTGCACCTGGTCAAAATTCCCTGACCAAAATGGCTACCCAGGTCCCACGATGTGCGTTCGAACCACCCGCACTACCAATAATGTGGTGTTCGTCTCGGGAAAGACTATTTCCCCTGAAAGGACCCGACCTGGACTTATGATATATGACAAGAGAAGGCTCTATTACTGTAATTACCTCTATTATCGGGCGTTGATGCTGTCTCTTCGTAAGTAACGTCTCTTCACTTCGAAGGTCAGTCACAAGAGGGCGCTGCAGGCGTGCGCAGACTCCGTCCTCAGCTGCATCCATCAAGAGGCCCGCTGGTGTCAGTTATCTGCTCCTAGCTTGGAGAACCCAGGGCTTAGGGTAAAGATACAACAGTTCTATATTTTGACATAAGTGAAACTTTTTTTAAAAATACTAGACAGACGTACAAAAATTCATTATACCGTAGAAGTTGTAAATTTTCATGCCAACAGCGATCAGAGGTTTCTAATTTTCTTATCAAGCATGCATCATTATTAAAGTGTAGGCTGTAGCGTGTTATCTCACCTTGTAAAATGAATTGGTTTGTTTACATTCTACTTTCACTTTCACTTCACAAAATTACTCATCTTTAGTAAACCTAAATACCAAAATTGAATAGCGTCTAACATTAAACAAAAAGAACGTTTAATTCCATTCGATGTATGGTGTTTTAATTACATGATAATTACACTAAGTGGCATTTGCAAACGACCATATTTTTTTTTATTGCATATTTGTAATGCATTTAAAAACAATGTATTTGATATGAGATTGTGTAATTCAAACGTGTCATTTTAAAAGATATAATTATAATTAATTAACTTATAAAGTTTGTATTTTTAGTTCTTAAGAACGTGATACCTCTATTCCCCACACTGACTATACATCTAACCCTTGTTAATATCACTCTTGCAATGGTGTTTATTTGACATTTATTTTAGAGGGTTCGGATGGGGTTTACAGTAGGCTATACTTAGAATTACTTGATGTGCAAAACATAGAGAATATAAAAAGGCAGAAAAATAATGGAGAAAAGAGAATTATGGTGTTCTAAAATAAAAAGAATATAAAGAAATATGCAAACAATATAGAATAGAGAAAAATGACTTAAACAAATAAACTTAAGAATAAAAAAACCGTCGACCCCCTTTTTTCCCACCTCCAGTAAGTCTTCCTCCCATCCAGTTCATCATCTATAAAAAGAAGAAGATATGGTATGATTGCAAAGGAGACAAATTTTCACAAGAGACCAAATGACACAGAGGTTAACAACTACATGTATAGGTCACGAGAAAAAAAATGGCCTAATTAAAAGTGTACAAAAAATGAACGAGAAAACAAATATGTTACACAGCAACAAACGACAACCACATAATTACAGGCTCTTTACCTGGAACGGACACATACATACAGAATGTGGCAGGATTAAACATATAAAAAGGGATCCAACCCTTCCCTTACCTGGGACAGCGGTGTAACAATACAACACAAGAACAAACTATAAAAATCAGTTGAAAAAGGCATCATACGGATACAAATAGAAATTCATCCAACAAAAACACAGAGTGCATGTGGCCGGGTACTAGTACATCCAAACAACAAAAAGACACTAGGTACACATCTGAGAGAACTTACAGTGACTGACAGATAGTACGAAGCCAAAAAAAATAATAAAAAATCATGCATCTAACATATATTAAAAAAAAATAGCCTTCAAGTTGGTGTCCGACTGAATTTTCAACGCGAACAATAATACCAGATTTAGAATCAGCGTAATGAAATATAACGTTGGTACTTTCTGTCGTATTGTATCAACCACAGGAAACCGTTTAATGATTGGTCGATTGATAGCTTCTTGACTTCATTCGGCAAATACTTCATATTATATATAGGATGATCTGGAAACTGTGGGATATACTCCAATGAAATAGCAACCAAGCGAGAAAAATAATCAACTAGTTACGAATAAATTCTTTTTAACTTTTTAAAACAGCTAGAGATGACGTATTACACCTAACGAAATATGGTTTACAAATTGTGACTTGGATGGAGAGTTGTCTCATTGTCAGTCATGTCACATCTTTTTGATAATTTGTCACCGTATAAGAAAAGTGGGATCAGAATTTTATTTGAATGCATACGTTTTTGTGCCCCTTCTCTCATTTGGAAAATCACTGATTCTACACTATAATTAGATATAAGAAGATGTGGTATGAGTGCCAATGAGACAACTCTCCATCCAAGTCAAAATTTATAAAAGTAAACCATTATAGGTCACAGTACGGTCTTCAACACGGATACTTGGCTCACACCGAAAAGTAAGCTATAAAGGGCCCCAAAAATTACTAGTGTAAAACCATTCAAACGGGAAAACCAACGGCCTAATCTATATAAAAAACGAGAAACGAGAAACACTTATGAACCACATCAACAAACAACAACTACTGAACATCAGATTCCTGACTTAGGACAGGTGCAAACAAATGCAACGGGTTTAAACGTTTTAATGGTACCAAACCTTCACCCGTTTTCTGAAACAATAGTGTAACATCACAACATAGAAAGACACACTATAAACTCTTATTTGTCCGATTTCCAATTGAACGTCACTACCAATTGATTTTGTAGATGTAGGAAGATATTATTTAAAGTCGAAATCTGACATGCCTTGTCAACAGAGCCCCACGTTGATATATTTATGTGAGTCTTTTGAGACTGATGCATATGCATAAGTTTCTTTCAAAAAGCATCGCACCTGAAGCGTTTTATACCGTTGTGAAAAATCAGAAATGTATCAGCAATACATGTAACATAACACCGGGTTATAATCTACGGATATTTCCTTTCATTGATCATGCCTCGAGTGTACACTACTAATAGCAAACAAATCGAATCAATTGAAAGACATTCCAATAATTCCTCTTTACTTTACATCAGCTTTGGGACCAAATCGATCAGAGAAAACTTAATTTGTTTCATCGTAAAGATCAAAACCAATCATTTGGCAGATAACAAGCGATGAACTATCAATGATTTGTGTATTGGAAAGGAAATAATCTTTATCCTAAATGTGTTTTAGAAATTGGAAAAACTTCAGACTAATTAGAAGCTTACAATTAACACTGATATTGCACCCAGACTAATTTCAAGATTCTGTAAATTAGATGATTGAAAAACTGCAGACAAATTAATACAGGAATTGACGTGCCAACATACTTTATGAAGTGCATTTTCTCACTAAGTTACGTATGTGTACGACTTGTATGGTGTATGACTTTCAAATGATCAACACGGGTGTTTTAGAAATGAATTCCAAATAACGGGAACCGAAATTATTACGTACATGTACATTGTGTACTCAATAAATTAATGAAAATGAATTTGTTTGGTCGTAAGCACATGTAACAGATTTGTCGAGAAGCAGTTATTTAAATTTGTCCTGTACCATTATTCTGTTTTTATCTGTTATATTTTACAGAGTATGGTAGTTTTGAACAATCGGAAGGTAAAATTTCAGGAGATCTAACAGTTACAGCTATTGCAACTTTTATTCCTTTAATCAACTCAATGTTTTTATTAAAATAACATTGACCAATGATAAACCATTAAAAGGAACAGCTACTCTCCCTCGAAAAGTATTCAATACAAAAGTGATTTCAATAAAGGAATATATATGTAATTATCGTAATTCCATTTACAGGAACGATGCCTCAAAAGATCATAGTCTGTATAATGTAAACAGATATAAAGAGTACGTAATAATTGTTACGATCAAGGTGTGAAAGTTGAATTTGCCGTTAGCAAGTATTGATATCTGATGTCGTTTTTTTTGCTGCAGCCCATGTGACTTTGACAATTATAGCTGTCAATATTCCGATATTAACTTATGTAACTAAAATCCCATTGTAGTTACTTTTAATTACAGTTCACTTGGCGTTGAATATTTAAAAAATGTAGAAATGACAATATGAGTGCAGGACAGTGAATGAAAATATTTGAATAGAATGGAAGTTTTAGTCGTTTTTGCCGTGGTCCTGGCCTATTTATGTTCAGGTTTGTACTAAATAGATATAAGAAGATGTGGTATGAGTGCCAATGAGACAACTCTCCATCCAAGTCACAATTTGTAAAAGTAAACCATTATAGGCCAACGTACGGTCTTCAACACGGAGCCTTGGCTCACACCGAACAGCAAGCTATAAAGGGGCCCAAAAATAACTAGTGTAAAACCATTCAAACGGGGAAAACCAACGGTCTAATCTATTTAAAAAAAAAAACGAGAAACAAGAAACAATTATGAACCACATCAACAAACGACAACCACTGAACATCAGGTTTCATAAATACATGTATTATTTTAGGATAATAACACATTCGGCAAGCATCGAAAGATTTATGTATAATTTGTCGAGGTATGCCGAATACACAAACAAAAATGAAACACATATCGAAAACCCGAAAAAGAAAACAAACAAACACAAACGTTGTACAGAAAATGTGGTAGGCCTCCAAAATTTTCCTTAATGTATTTGTTGGTGTTTTGTGTTCGCGTTTTCTCCTTGTTCTGCACTTCTCAACACACAAAACCATTTTCTAGTATTTAAATGGTGGTGTGATTTAAACTATAGTACATTCGACATGTGTGTTTGTCATATAAGATACAATTTCATCCTTGTGATGCTTACACTAATGAAATCAGTAAGTTAATGTTATTTGCATATCACTTATCAGTTAACAAGTTAAAAACCATATATGTTGACCCCTAGACGTCTTTTATTATTTGTTTGTGTCGTTTGGTTGCCGTCTTATATATGTTAGACTCAGATCGACGTCCGATCTCTAATCGACGTCCGTTCCTCAAATCGACGTCCAAATCTAACGTCATGTTCTCAAATCGGTGTCCAATATTCTTATCCTGTAACCGACGTCTAATGTAACGTAACGAATAAAAAAAAACGACGTCTGATCGATAAGGAGACTCTCATCGTGTTGTCTTATTTCATGCAATCACTATTTTTTTAAATTAAGAAATAATTTTTAATCTATGCTCTATGCTCAGTTTAAAATTGGTAGGCATTATATTTGTCAATATAGTTAAACCGAGCGTTAGCGAAGTGTAAAATGTTGACAAATATAATGCCTACCCATGTTAAAATGAGCATACATCATGATATGATAGAACTATATCGATTCTAATAGGAAAATTTAGAACTTTTGTATTTCGAACAGGACCTATAATAAGCGTTGGAAAGGCATCCATTTTGATTTGATGAAGCCAAATCGTTAAAGAGAACCAACCGTTTCACGATTAAAAAATAAACAGATATTTACTTTAAATTTAGAATGGTTTATTTAATTTCCTGGCGAGCAACAGCAATACAAATGTCAATTTTGATCTCTGCAGTTGCACTTTCATGGAGTCCATGTTTTATTGGAATAAGAACATGGCTTTGTTTCCATAGCAAAAGAAGAACGTTATATTAGAATTGATCTTTGTTTATATTATCTGTCTCGTTTTGTCAAAGACAAAGATAACCGAAAGACATCTATAGGGCAGTATTCTGACTTAAACAATAGAAAGAATTAAAACGTACAGCCAATTGATGAAAAGTATAATTTTTTGGAATTATCTTTTTCAATATCTTTTGAGTTTTAGGTTCAACCCACCATTTAATAAAATTGGCATTTCACTGCGACAATTCCAGAAAACGGACGTCGATCAGAGAAGTCCGAAATTGGATGTCGATTTGAGAAAAACAAAAAAGACGTCGATTAGAGAGACATAAAATTGGCCGTCGATTTGGATTGTTATCTTATTGTGACGTCAGATTTGGACGTCGATTTGAGGAACGAACGTCGATTAGAGACCGGACGTCGATCTGAGTCTTACATATATACCCTACAAAACATTAAACAAAACTGGAGGCTAGTTTATGTTTCCTTCTGTTTTAAGGTGTATATAGGATCTACAATTATACCCAATGGGTAGTGCTCCACAATTAATGGAGGAACATATAAGAAACTGAACTGAACTGAACAGTATACAGATTTCAACAATTCGTTACACCCTGCTACATGTACATGATTGTGCGCTTTACCCATGACGAAATCAGGAAGTCAGCTGTTATGTCCGTATAATTTAGTCAATTTTGAAATTTGGCGTCAAAGACAGATCTCTGATAGTCTCTGTTACATTTTTTTCAAAACTGTCTTGCCCAGGCCGGTTTAAAGCTAGATATATAGACACGTGTCCATTGTTGAAGGACGTTTGTTTATATCTAGATGTCCTTTTTACTTTTTGTTTTATCTAAGTCGATAGATTGCTGACTCGCTTGTGTATAACAATTTCCCTTTATTCCTTTTTTTTATATTTATCGGTATGCCAAGCATAATATATAAGTAAAATTAACAAGACCGCCTGCAGACAGATTATGCGTGCGTAGCATTATACTGGTTTATAAATAAATTGTTGTCAATAAACCAGTCCAACACTTTATCGATATATAACTAGATCCTGTCATTGCATATAATTCTAAAGAATATCAGACAGAAAAAATGAAATTCCAACATAACAAAATTGTTTTTTGTATGAGCTTCCGGGTGGATTCGAGCCTTGCTCAATACCAGGGTATTGCCCTGGACCCATGATTTGTTGTCCAGACCCTTTTCCCCCATACTAATCAATTGTACAAATGTACAACAATATCGGCTTCATTGGTGCACTTTTTTTTTTGTATTGAATTTTGCATTATCAGCCGACTGCGTTGGTCTCATCATCGCGGTCAAACCTACAACGCTAGAGCATATGACTAAATCGATCAATGACATTATATAATTCATAACCTTATGTTATGGCCTACTTTATATAGTATACGGTTTGCATCACTCCCTAAAAGTCGTTTGTGTCTCCGTCGAGTTATCTAGCATACTCAAAAGGCAACTTACTAGCGTAGCATTATACTGGTTTATAAATAAATTGTTGTCAATAAACCAGTCCAACATTTTATCGATATATAACTAGATCCTGTCATTGCATATAATTCTAAAAAATATCAGACAGAAAAAATGAAATTCCAACATAACAAAATTGTTTTTTGTATGAGCTTCCGGGTGGATTCGACCCTTGCTCAATACCAGGGTATTGCCCTGGACCCATTCGGGGCCTTAATCGGCCCAAGACCGCCTGCAGACAGATTATGCGTGCACTGCACGCAGAACATAGCTACGCTCTAGCGCTAGGCACTAGACTACATAAGATTAATTAATGTCTGAAAACCCGATATATGGTCTTTCAACATTAAAGTAAACCGGTATATAACAGCCAGTAGACAATGAATACCATTTAACGGAATAAAACCCTTATTTGCAATAATGTTAAAAGTCTCGAAGGTATTTTCCTTCATTTAAATCCTTGACAACCGTAAGGTCGTCAGTTATCGGAAACAAATGATAGATTGCAGTGTATACATGCTATAGAAATTCTCATTTCTATGCGACTTATCTAATTTGTATTGACAAAGTATTCGATTCAAAATAAAGCGATACATTTGTTGACAGTTTGCATGGTAATGTTGAAACAAGTAATTAGTTGCAGTCTACAGAAATTCACATTACTTTGCAACTTATTTAATTAGTATTAACAAAGTATTAGATTCTAAATAAAGCGATACAGTCGCTTACAATTTGCACCATAATGTTGACACAAGTAATGAAAACAGAATGTTTGTCGACAGAAACTTAAAAGTGCCACTCCGCTTAAGAATCGTGATTCATAGATGGGAAGCCTAAACTTTTTTATATTTAATATTTTGTCCAAAATGCAAAGTGATATTTAAAACTACCAACGATTTTTACTTTTACCCATGGTCATGGCAGATGTAAATTATATGAAATACACTATGAAAGTCTGAATGAGGAAATAACTTCATAATCTTCACGTAATTTTATTATATTGTTCATTCCACTTCATTTCTTTTCCTAATTGTACATGTTATATACCTACTATTGTATGTTTTGCGTGAAATTTCTCAAAACTTGATCATATACCTTAAAATCATTATGTTCCTTATGTCGTAACTACAATCCCGTTCCCTTTTCACGAATGTGACCTACCGAATTAGACTATTTACTGGGTTTGTAATAACACGAGCAACACGACGGGTGCAACATGTGGAGCAGGATCTGCTTACCCTTCCGGAGCACCTGAGATCACTCCAGTTTGTGGTGGGGTTCGTGTTGCTCAGTCTTTTGTTTTCTATGTTGTGTCTTGTGTATTATTATTTGTCTGTTTGTCTTTTTCTTTTTTAACAATGGCGTTGTCAGTTTATTTTCGATCTATGAGTTTGAATGTCCCTTTGGTATCTTTCGCCCCTCTTTTATGATGTCTCGGTAAAAATAAATGTAACTAACCACCATAACCCCTGAATTGTACATGTATCTGTCACGTACTCTTTCCAATTCGTAAAACTCGATATGAAGAAAATGTACGACTCTAAAACGGAAATCATTTTACGGTTCATATTTCATAGACTTCCAAACAGAACGCTGTGATATTCAAAGGGTCCATTTTTTCAAACATCTTTTGACAAATCCTATATGTATATCAACTTTCTTTGCTATACTCAATAGCTCGAAGTAACCAGTTCCTTAGTACCGAAAATGCGTTTGACAGTTCGTTTTAATTCGCAGAATTGACAATAATATCGTTCTGCTTGATCATGTGTAGTTAAACCTTAATTAATATTGGTGCATTAATTGCAATCAAAGAAGAAATTCTGTGCGCATTCTGCTAAGAAAATGTTTCCATCGATTCTATTTTCCTTGATTCATCTATCAATGATATTCTACACTTTATTTTCTTCTCCAGTAATAAATCTATATAATTGAAGACAACGTCTGTTGAAAGCTGGTAATGAGACGTATCTGACATTTTCATTATTTGTAAACCTCCCTAGAGAAGAGTCAAATTGATTTCTTCCACAATAGTAATTCGTATACTTTTTGTTTGAATTAAAGCAAACTGGAAAATGTTGCAACAGATCAGCTGATCTCCT